CCAGAATTTTCCCCCCTGTTCCCAGCCCAGTCCCAGAGAAGCCCCCTGGAAGGAAACTTACTCCCTCCAAGCCCAAACCATCTCCCAATGCCCATTCCCCAGCACCAGGTCTCACAGGGTCAGTGCTGTGCCCCTGCCCCAGCAACAGGGCACTGGGATGGTTGCCATGACAACCAACCTTACCAATGGATTCTTATATTGCTTGCTATGGCAACCAATCTTTCAATAAGATTGTGGGATGGTTTCCATGGCAAACAACTCATGGAAGTGCCCACGAGTGAGGTCCCTGGCAATGGATTTATTGATGGTTGCCATGGAAACTGCAGCAACGGTCTCCCTGTAGGTTGTCATAGCAACCGCCATAGCAATGGGTCTTTTTGATGGTTGCCATGGCAACCCGGCTTAGCAACAGGTCTCAGTGCAAGTGTCCATGACAACAGTCTCTGGCAATGGGTTTCTATGATGATTGCCGGGACAGCTGACCCAAGCTGCCACGGAAACGTCACAGACCCAGAATTCCATGGCACAAGCCCATAGCAATGTGCCCTAATGCAGGTTTCCATGGCAAACAGCTATCACAACTGGTCCAAATCTTGGTTGCCATGGCACCACACCTAGGAAGGGGTCCATTGATGGGTGCTGTGGTAACTGACAAGCGGTATAGGATCGTAAATCGCTGCCATAGCAACAGACTCTGGCTACGGGACTCAGCTTGTTCCCATGGCAACCACCCCGGGGTGGTTGCATCTCCATGGAGCTGCCACAGGCCATGCATGAGCAACATGTCCTGGTGATGGTTGTCATGGAAACTGACCACAGCAACAGGAAATTGTGATGGTTGCTAAGGAACCAATTTGCCACAGGCACTCACAGAGGTTTCATGGTGACAACAGAGGTGTCTATGCTGCTAAAGAGCTGTAATGTCCTATGCAGTGACAGGGCTTCCATGGCGACATCCCAGGGGTCTGGACTACAAACCAGATATATTTATATAAATATGTATAAGATTTATTATGATAATGATTAAGTAAAAATATCTTAATCAGAATTATTTACTACCCAGTATAGGAGCTATAACAACTGTTGTAATATAGTGCACTAGGAAGCAATATTGAAGCAACTGTACTAAAGCAATTGCATTTAACCAAAACCAATTATTAAGTAGAGATTGACGTCACTCACCCAGACCAAAGACCTTAGGCAAATCTCTTTGGCTTAGCCTTGAGGAGTGACTTTGAGGGGCGTCCCCACTCCAGGCAGGAATCTCCACACACAATCCCAAGAAGGGATATATCAGAAGACCCTGCCTTTAAAATTTGGGACTGGGCTTTTCTAGTATAAAGGGCTGGACTGTCAGTCAGGTGTGTCCAGGCTATGTCAGCTCAGCAGCTTTGGAGAAGTTCTCAGTGGTGTCACCTGTTTATTCCTTTATATCCAGATATTTTACAAGGTCTGCCAAATATTCTCTCACTCTCAGGATGTTTAACTTAGGGATTGATGAGTCAGGCTGGTTTCAGCTTTGTTCAGTCCCCAAAACAGCATGACAACCTCCTCCCTGCCCTTCTTAATTTCCCACTGAGGGCTTTTCAAACAGGGCCTTGCTGGTGTTGTTTTACCCCATTCCAGGCAGAGCATCCTGCTACAGGACCCCCATGGGACACCTGTGCCCGCTGTTCCAACTCTTTTCCTCACTGTCTCACCCCTTCCTCATCATCCTCACAATTCCCAGTTCCCCCGACAGCTTGGTATCCCCCCTCACCTTGCTTGGATTTGGTGACCTAGCCCCTCTTAGCTCATTTTGATGGTCCAAAGCCCCACCTTTTCCTCTCCTCCCCCTTTCCAATTGTCCACACTCCCCAGTCATCACTGGTCTTGGTTTGGGTTGTCGCACTCCTGTCCCGCTTGGTTTGGGTGTCCCACTCCTTCTTTCCTTCTGCTTTCCCACTGTCTCTCCCCTTCCCGCTCCCCCGAGTTCCCCTCGCCCGCAGCCGGGGGGGTTCCCAGCACCACCAGTCCAGCCCCAACTCCTCCCACACAGCCCATCCCCAGCGCTGGGCAGGTGCTAACACCCCAAAAGCAGCCGGACAATGCCAGGGGGGTCCCCAAAAGCGGCCCTGGCCCACACAGCACTGGGAGCACCAGTCCGGCCCAGTTTGGAGTGGGCAGGTGGCATCAGCCTTTCTGTGCAGGGTCAGGCCCCTGCCGCAGCTGCCACCATGCTAAACTGAGCCTGAACTTGATCAACAGTTTATGCCTAGAGGCCCAACAGCACTTAACTTAACAGCACTTAACTGATAACTTAAGTCAAACAATTTAGCAAAGCATTCATATAGAATTTACGACACCATAACAGTAACTCACTTACAGAACTGACCAACTTACAAATCCAAAGTGCTGAAGAATCCAGGAGAGCAGCGTTCCCAGGAGCAGCGTTCCCAGGACATTTGTCATGGCAGATTCACACTCACACAGACAGAAAGAGTCTGGACAAGGTACCTGGGAACAATTCCCTTGGGATTCAGGAAAATCCTCCCTTGGGATGCCATTGCACATTCTCAGAAGAACGGCTGAGCCTCAAGGAGTGAGAGGGATCAGCCCCGGATCTGCTGTCAGTCGGGATCCTCCGAGTGCAGCAAATGGGAGAGTTGGGGGCTCTGAGAGGCCCAGGCAAAGGGAGGTTGTTGTCGCAGCTGCTGCGACCTCAGAGAGCTCAAAGGGTCTCAATCAGCACCACTGGTTATGGGGCCCACGCAGAGGGGGCTTTAAGGCACAGGAATTGTCCATCCTGGCCCCAGTTCAGGTTAGGGACTTTCTCTGAAAGTTGGAGAACAAAAATACGATTCCACTTGGGTTGTTCTTCGGGCAAGAAAAACAAGTTTCCAAGGCCTTTGGTTAAGAAAAGCAGAAGCTCATTAGACAGCACTAGTTCCTATGAGCAGACAGTGTTTCTGAGCAGCTCGGGCTGTTCATCAAGGCCGAGGCCTAACGAGCATGATCCAACATGGGTCCTCCGATGGGGCACTCGGATGGCTTCCCTTATCGGTGGGTCCTTTGGTGTGAGGTCAAGGCAGAGCTCTGGTTGAAGCTCTTCCCACACTTCAAGCACCTGTAGGGCCTCTCCCCGGTGTGGATGTGCCAGTGCTTAATGAGGTCAGAGCTGCGGACAAAGCCCTTCCCACAGTCAGTGCACCGGAAGGGCCTCTCCTCTGTATGCATTCGTTGATGCAGAAGGAGATCAGAGCTGGTCCGGAACCTCTTCTCACACTCAGGACATTTGTAGGGCCGTTCCCCGGTGTGAACACGCCGGTGGATGACAAGGCTGAAACTACGGTTGAAGCTCTTCCCACATTCCAGGCACTTGTAGGGCCGTTCCCCTGTGTGCAACCGGCGGTGGGTGAGGAGGTGGGAGCTCTGGCTGAAGCTTTTCCCACACTCCAAGCACTTGTAGGGCCGTTCCCCACTGTGGAAGCGCTGGTGGTACGTGAGGCTGGAGCTCTTGCTGAAGCTCTTTCCACATTCCAAGCACTTGTAGGGCCGTTCCCCAGTGTGAAGACGCTGGTGGACCACCAGGTCAGAGCTCTGGCTGAAGCTCTTCCCACATTCCCCACATGTGTAGGGCCGTTCCCCGGTATGGATCTTCTGGTGGCGGATCAGGTGGGACCTCCAGCTGAAGCTCTTCCCACATTCCAAGCACGTGAAAGGCTTCTCTCTGCTGTGAAGCTGCTCATGGACCACCAGATCAGAGCTCTGGCTGAAGCTCCAGCCACCCTCCCAGCACACGGGGGGGTTTTCCTCCTCGGAGCACCATGGAGTGAGTTTGGAGCCCTTTCCCATGGGGAATGTTTGTGGCTTTTCCTCCCTGTTGCCTTCCTGCACAGTGGAGCTGTTCAAAACAGCCTCTTCCATGAGGTTCTGCCACGGGGATTTGTCCTCCATGGTCTCTGTCCTCAAGTTGTTGTCTGGGGGAGGAAGGACAAGGAGAGGGAGGAACAGAGGAGAGGAAGGAACAAGGAGAAGGAAGAAGGAGAAAAGGGAACAAGAAGAAGGAATGAGGGAGAGGAAGGAAGAAGTTGAGGAGGAAGCGAGGAGAGGAAGGAGCAAGGAGAGGAAAAAGGAGAGGAAGAAGGTGAGAAAGGAAAAAGAAGGAAGAAGAGGAGGAATGAAAAAGGAGAAGGAAGGAGGAGAAGAAGGTGCAAGGAGAAGAAGAAACAAGCAAAAGGAAGAAGGAGAGGAAGGAACAGGAAAAAAATGGAGTAAGGAGGGAAAGGAAGGAGAAGGAAGGAGAAGAAGGAGAAGGAACAAGGAGAGCAAGGAAAAAGCAGAAGGAAGAAGGAGGGGGAGGAAAAAGGAGAAGGAAGGGAAAGGAAGAAGGAAAGAAAAGGAACAAGGAAAGCAAGGAAGAAAGGATAGGAAGGAAGAAGGACAGGGAGGGGATTTGACTCTGTGCCAGAGAGAAGGGCAAGGAGATCCCCCCAAATCCGTCCCCGGCAGGACGGCAGCGGCAGTGGGGTTGTCCTGCAGCCGGGAGCCATGCTCGGCTGGGAGATACAGGACAAAACAGGGGCAAAGGGGCACTGACTTCCTCCTCACCTGCCTGGGGGTCCTGGGGCATCTTCCTCTTCCTCGCAGCCTCCTCCTCTATTTGGCCAAGCTTTGGGAAGGAGAAATCCTATTTTGGGGGAAAAACAAGGTGTGAGTTGGAGGTTCCTCCTGCCCAAGTCCATCTCTAGAAGTCACCAGGCATCTTGTGTCCACAAAAACCTACAAAACACCAAGATTCAGCCCAACAAATATCCCCAAAACACCGACACAGCCCCAAAAATCCCAAAAGGTTATGATTCAGCTAAAAACCCCTCCAAATCATCAATACTCATCAAAAAACCTTCAAAATATGAAGTCATCAAAAAAAAAAAATCCCCAAATACCAAGATTTAGCCCAAAAAACCTCCAAAACACCAAGATTCACCCCCAAAAAACTCCAAAAGTTCAAGATTCAGTGAAATAAAACCCTCCCAAGGAGTTCCCCCTCTCTGGTCTCTCCACTTTGGGGTTCTGGGAGTTCCCTGTCTCCAGGTTGTAAGGGGTGCTGTGAAACACAGGGGTCCCTCCTCTCTGGTCTCCTCCCTTTGGGATTCTGGGGGCAGTTCTTCTCTGGGTTCCCCCCATTTATGGATGCTGGGGGTTTTGGGGGTCCCAGGGGTACCTTCTCCCCTCATTCTCTGCTACAGGGTGCAAGGAATCCCAGGGGTCCCCTCTCTCTGGGGTCCTTCCTTCTTCACGCTGCTGGGGATCCTGGGAATCCTGGGGATCTCCCCTCTCTGGGATCCCCACTTTGGTGTCCCAGGGGTCTCCCCTTTCTGCGGTGTCCCCTCTCCAGACTGCTGGGGGTCCTGAGGGTCCCCTCTCCAGGGCCCCCATTTCAGGGTCCCAGGGGTCCCCCCTCTCCGTGCTCCAGGCTGGCTATGAAGGGCCTGACCCAGGAACACCAATCCCCACTGCGGGGGGAACACACATCCTCCCGCCCACTGCCGGGACTCTGCCTGCAGTTTTTTGGGGACCCTCAAAAAACACCTAACGGGAACCCCAATATCCCCCCGAGGGGCATTTGCAGCTCATTTTGGAGTCTTCAAAGATCCAAATGTGTCCCCCCCAAAAACCCCCAGAAATCCCCCAAGACATTTGGGGTGAGCTCCCCCTCCCCAGTCACCTTTGGAATGCAGGAGGGAGGGGCGATGCTCCCGGGGGTGGGGGGGCTGTGGATACAGTCAGCAGCAGAACAGCAACCTTCCTGCTCTTCCTGTTCTTTTCCCTCTGCTATCCCTGCTCTTCCTCCCACTACTCCTCCTCCTGCTGCATTCTTCCTCCATCTGCTCCTCCTCCTCCTCCTCCAGGCAACCCTGGCTGTGTGTATAGACTGGGAACAAGAGGCTGGAGAGCAGCTGCAGGAAAGGGCCCTGGGGGTCCTGGTTGGTGACCAGTTGGCCATGAGTCAGCAGTGCCCTGGCAGCCAGGAGGGCCAACACTGTCCTGAGGGGCATCAGGCCCAGCGTTGCCAGCTGGGTCAGGGAGGGGATTGTCCTGCTCTGCACTGGGGCAGCCTCACCTGAAGTTCTGGGGCACTTTGGGGCACCACAATATAAAAAAGACATGAAGCCATAACAGAGCGTCCAAAGGAGGCCATGAGGATGGGGAAGGATCTGGAGGGAAGGCCTTATGAGGAGCGGCTGAGGGCACTTGGTTCATTCAGCCTGGAGAAAAGGAGACTGAGGTCAGACCTCAGTGGGGTCTTTAACATCCTCCTGAGGGGCAGTGGAGCGGCAGGTACTGATCTCTTCACTCTTGTGACTAGTGACAGGACTCTACAGCTGGAGCTGAGTCAGGGAGGTTTAGGTGGGATGTTAGGAAAAGGTTTTTTCCCCCAGAGGGTGACTGAGCACTGGAATAGGTTTCCCAGGGAAGTAGTCACAGCACCAGGCCTGTCTGAGCTCAAGAAGCATTTGGACAATGTTCTCGGGCACAGGGTGGGATTCTTGGGGTGTCCTGTGCAGGGCCAGGAGTTGCACTCGATGATCCTGACCCTCCCAACTCAGCCCATTCTCTGGTTCTATGAACTCCCTGCTCCGCCTTGAGACTCGGGCTCAGCCCACCCGACTCACTCCCTGGGGAAGGGACGGATGTGCCCAAGGGAACAAAACGCCCCAGAACTCTGTTTACACAAGAGGCTGCACCAGGGGAACGAGAAAAGGGAGTGGATCAGGTCCCCGCGCTTTCATTGTTCTTTCTCTTTCCTCTGCCTCTTTCTTCCCTTTTTCTCCTCTCTCTTTCCCGTCCCTGTTTCCCAGCTCCGGCCCAGCCCCGCGGCAGCACCAACGCGGGATCCAAGCCCCGGGGCCATTCTTTGTTCCCTTCCCGGCCTTTCCCCGGGCCCAGCCCGGCTCTCCTGTTCTATCCCACCCCCGCACCGAGCTTTGGGGGGCACTGGGGGGACTGGGGGGCTGTGCTGGGCCTTGTGAGCCAGCGCCTGGGAGGACTTTGGGAATGTGGGGGGAGCTCCTGGAAGTGTTGGGGACAAGAAAACACAAGAGCTCCTGACACGGGAGCGGGTCTTTGTTCAGCCTGACGGGAATTCAGAACGAACAGCACGGCCCCGACTGCTGGCTCGGGACAGGGGTCTCAGGGGTCCCCTCTCTCCAGGCTCCCCCCTCTCCAGGGCCCAAGGGATGGGGACACGAGGGGGTCCCAATGGAACCCCTTTCCCGCTGTCCCACCTCCCCTTATCTCCCCTCTCCCACCCCCTTCCCATCATTCCCCCCAAACCCCGGGGGGGGGGGGGGGGGGGGGGGGGGGGGGGCGATGCTCCTCCCCTTCCTCCTCCTCTTCCTCTTCCTCCGGCTCCTCCTCCTGTTCGTTCCGCGAGGCGGTCTCGGGTGAGCGGTGGGGGGGACACGATGGGAAAGAGGGGAGAGGGAGAAAAGAGCGGGTGAGAACCCCAAACTGAGCAAGAAAGGGGGTGGGTCACCTCCAAAGGGAACTGGGGGGGAGCCGGGGTTTGGGGGGAATGATGGGAAGGGGGTGGGAGAGGGGAGATAAGGGGAGGTGGGACAGCGGGAAAGGGGTTCCATTGGGACCCCTTCGTGTCCCCATCCCTTGGGCCCTGGAGAGGGGGGAGCCTGGAGAGAGGGGACCCCTGAGACCCCTGTCCCGAGCCAGCAGTCGAGGCCGTGCTGTTCGTTCTGAATTCCCGTCAGGCTGAACA